ATCCTGACATTCTTTCTGTAATATTAGAGATTGTCCTGATGGCATATCAAGGCTTTGGGATATTTCGCTATATCCAAGTAAAGCTTCTGTGTTCACCCTTTACCCATTCCAATTAAGTTCTTTAACCGGGACCATTAGCATTAAACCCTTTGAATACTGTAGAATCTCACAACATTCAAAAAGTTCGTGGTGGGAACTTTATGCCGAAGAAGTCACTACAAATGAAACAATCCATTAGGACAATTTGTGATGCCTCCTTTTTTATCATTATGAATCTCTCGGTCACAGAGTTGCCATTGGAAGTGCTTGCAGCTTAGAAATGCTAACCGCTGTTCCAAGCGACCCAGGGTTTCTGACTGAGCTTGAGCAGTGTAAGGCAGCCCAACACTGGCCTTCCTTCGTGAAGTGGGTAACGCAGGCTGGCACACCTCGCATGTCATAGCTGAAACTATTCCTGAATTTCACATTGTTGCATTACTGGGCTTTGGTTACTTGTCTTTACTTACATGTCACTATTTTAGTGAGACTGGACAATAAACAAGGGTGATCTACCACACACACAAGTTCTGGATTCATTCTTTTTTTATTTTTTGAGGGGAGGCCCAGTTATTAACGCAGTGGCTGTCAACTAAAAAAGCCTTTGCTAAATTACTATGAACAAAACCTTCCTGTAATCTCAGGATTTTCTTGAATGGTACTAGGTGAAAGATCTGAAATGGAAGAATCAATTGTTGGAAATTTAATTTGAAATGAAGTGTTCAAAAGCAAATATTGCAGAAACTGCTGAGAAGATTTGAAATCTCAGACTGGAGTTAACCAGGAAGGATGCTATCTGCAAGGATAGGAATATGAGAGATATTTCTAGAGTGAATAAAATCAGTCTCATAGCTGAGGAGATGCTTAACATTTTGAAAGATCACATGCAAGAGATAAGCTTTGAAAAAATCAAAGAAGTAAATGTGCTTTGGAAACTTTTGTCTTCTAAAAATTAATTACAGAGAAACTTGGAATTATACCACCCATTACTCTCACATCCTAAACCTTCCTGTTTCTTTACAGCAAGATATGGAGTGAAACCCTAGTCCCAGTTAAATTAATCAAAATGTTGATATTCACATCAATAAAGTTGAGTTTCACCCATAATCCACTTTCTGGGTTTGTTTTTTTTCTTCCTGATTTCCCAGTTTTACTACAAAAAGGCAAGAAGGAAAAATATTGATAGAAGAGAAAAATATCAATGTAAGAGGATAATACTGATAGAATTTTATTAAAGCCTTTTTAAACTATAGAAATACCATGGAGATTTTAGCTAAATTCAAGTGGAATATGAAAGGAAGTTCAGAAGATTTTGCTCTCTTACTTGTAACAGGGCAAATAGCACCTGGCATATGTTGGATAAAAATGTGTCAGGGAGAGAATCACAAAGTACTTAACTTTTAATTTTTCCAGTATAGATATATTTAGATAAGAAAATCAAGCAAGTTTAACATATTCAGAAGTGACTTTCAACTGATGCAAACTTTTCTTTGGACTCTGATTTCATTTCAAGAGAAGTTTATTTTGGTTTATCTTACACCTGTTCCTGGCAAGTTAAACTACGCTGAAATAATGTGCCTGCCTGCCTTCCCTGCCTCCAAGGGAAAAAAAGCCAGGGAGGGCTGCCCTAGG